TTTCTTGAATGAAGAGATGCAATGGGCTACAGACACATGGAGAGACGCAGGCATCTCTTGCTGTCAGGGTTTGCCAAGTTTCTATGCTCTGACTTCAAAAAAAAGTACGAGCTTTGAAGCTGGGACAATACGTATCTATTAGAGTGTCTGATTTCAGATGTGCTGCTGGATGCTCCAACCACAAAGACAAGTCGAGTCTTACATTTGCTGCCTGGAGTCCCAGGCAAGGGTTCACAGAGCAAGAGCGACCAAACATCACAGTCCAACCCCACTGCCCCACACAGACTGCAGTGAACCGAGGTGCTTCAGAGCACCCTGCCCAAAGCACCTCCTCACAGACCCCATCCTGCCCTGCTCCGAGGTGTACAGCTCCTGCTGCTGAAGTCGCTGCGTGTCCTACATTAGCCACCTAGAAACAGGCTGAATCTCCTTTTTTGTTCATGAAGGAAGGTTCTTTCTCAGAGAATAAAGCAAGGGAACTGAAAGTTAGTGGTTAACAGTTGCGTCTGTCCCCAGTATTTCAGTTCTGATCAATCGCTGCAAAACTTCTATTTTTTTTGACTTCTGGCTATCTTACAGAAAACCATAAACTTCAGTTTTGCCCATGGGAGAGTCCATTCCAGAAACGGTATGTTCTGGCACTGCCAATGTACTTGGCAGATATAATGTGCACTTTAAGGGCTTTCCTAACTTCAGTGAATTTCAGAGTAGCAATTATCTTCAATTACTCCAGATGAAAGACCACACAAAACGTTAATTCAAATCCCCCTTCTCCCAGAAGCCCCCCGCTATCCCTAGTCACCACTGCCCTACTTTTTCCCTTGCCAACACCCAAAAGATTGGACCTACTCTTTCTTGATGCCCACGTTTCCTGCTGTGATCACTCCCCTTGTCACAGCTTCTTTTCCATGCATATTATAAAAAAATCCTGTCTGACTTCAGGACATTGAACAGTACTTGTTGCTGGTCTGGAGGAAAGCACAGCCCCCTCCACACAGACTTCCTGCTTCTTACCTAATTTCTCCCACTACCTCAATCAGAACAGAAGGAAAACCAGACAAAACATCTGGGCATTTGCACCAGCAGTTAGAGGTAGCGTGAGATGCTCCGTTGGATCCAGCTGTTTCTGTTGCGCTGTAGGACGCAAAGCAGTCATTACCTGAAAGTAATGTGTATCAGAAGGGTTTTATTACTGAATTAGTGGGATATGTATCAGCACTGCCTTGATTTCTAGTAGCTACAAAGAGCTTGTATTAAAGTTACCAGCGCTCTTAAGATGAGGACATTAAACACAAATTAGAACAATACTCAGCAGCAGCTACAAAACAAGGCTGAAACAACACTAAGCTACAGAGCCATGGCTTCGTAATTCAGATGCATTTAAAGGAAACATTAGACTCAGAATGAAAACTGAGATCGACAATACGTTGGGATCGCTTAAATCACAAAGTAGATAGCTGAAACCCAGTCTCAGGCTGAATAGCCAAGACTGCACATGGCATCACACAGCAGTGCCTGAGAAAACAAAACCAGCATGTCTTTGTGATCCACGCAAGACGAACTAGAAGAACTATTGGCGGGAGAAGGAAGGAGACTTAAATATTTAAACTTTTTCTGAGAAAAACACCCATCAGTGTGCCAGAAGTCCGAAATACCGATACTCACTAAAAATGCAGAATCACTTCCTAGCAAGTTCAGTACAAGCCCTTTGCCCTCTTCAAGAGGAAGGACTGCACTCTGTAACGCTTCATAAACTGTCAAGCTCCCGTCTGTAAGCTTCAGAGATTTCACAGCTCCATTCTTTTCATGACTTTTTCTTCCAGTTTGCTGCGTAAAATCTGTAGCTTTGGCTGCTCCACCCTACAGAGGGTTGCTATTTGTCAAATAGCAGTAACAGCCTTGATTTTGTTTTTACAATGATGATAATCCCTGCCATAAAGAACTTATATTTTAAGAGGCACGTCTCATCTGTGACCCGCTCGACCTGTCTCAAGCAGGGGAACAGCTACAAGCCTGGTCACAGGAGCCTAAAATCTATCACAGGCTCAAACTGCTCCTGAAGCAGCAGCCTGGGTGCATCAGACAAAGCTCCCTGGAGCCCAGGGAGCTTCCGCTCTCCTCAAGCTTGCACATACTGTTGCTGCCTCTTTTCTGGGGAGAGATGAAACAGGAAGTCCAAAGAATCGTGGTGTCAATTCCTTTACTGTATTTGCTGAAAAGCTCCTGACGGCAGGAGGAGCATGAACAAATCTTTACAAGTCTTGAAACGGGCAATAACCAGTGCCACTAATAAAGTGGTCTAAGAGGCACCACAGAGAGCAGCAAGTGACAGAAACACAGGAAGGGGGGAAAAAAAGGGTTTTGAGACAGACTGCTGCGAGCAGAAAAAAACCACAGAGCCGGGCCTGGAGACGCATTTGAGCACACCACCAGAGCCAGAGCCAGAAAAGATGAGCAGCACAGTAAAGACATTGTGGGATCCTAAAATCAGAGAAAGGGGGCAGTGACAGTCATGGAGATGAGTAAAACGACTCTGGGCATAGAGCCCACCGCAAGAACAGTGCAGGGAAAAAAAACCACCCAAACTGAGTTCCTGCAGGGCTCTCCATGTCCGAGGCACTAAGAATGAAAACCATAGAGCTGGGGGTGACTGCAAAGACCCAAACTCCTTGTTCGTGCTTGAGACTTGAGACTCTCCAGAATAGGACCAGTGCAGGAAGCGAAGGAGAAGCCCGAGGTTTAGGTTTTCTGAGGCCAACGCCGTTTTGTTTGCTGAGCCTTGTGCTGTCGCTGCTTCCCTTTCGACGGGAATTGTGAAGAATGTGGTGGCTGTGCCGCAGCAGAGCAGGCACAGATAAACTTTTTGCTCTGTCAGAAGCTCACTGAAATACAACGCTTTGCAACTCACTTACAGTGGCCTGTTACTTGATGGTCACGAATGTACAAGACATGGAAAATGTCGCTTTTACACCAAGCTTTCCTAACACAGCTGTTACGACAGACAGCTGCATTATTTCACCCAGCTATTGCTTTATCTTAAATAAAATACCAGGCACATTTAATTTAGTTGTCCAGGCAATGAGAGTACCAGATCAAAAAAAGGAAAAGATGACAGGTTTTTAAATTGAAAAGCCTCAACTAAATGAGAGTGGACCTATTCCCTGCAGAAGCAGCGTGCTTTCATCACCGAAACTCTTCCCTCTCTCCAAAACAGCTGAGCCTTAACATCTCACACTCACGGGTTACTTCTGAGCATCTTACAGTTTATACACTTCACACAAACCAATTTTAAGTAATTCATGGCACTTGGGAGAATCCAGCACTATGGTTAATTTAACAGAAGCTGATCAAACAAAACTGATTTTGAGAAAAGCCCAATCTAATTCTGTCAGATCGCATTCCTAGTGCAGTTGTGTGCTATCATTAGCTATTTCAAGCCAAAATTTGATCATATTGAATTCAGGAGGTCTTTGCCAGTTTCAGTAGGACCAAAATGCTGACCTTCAGCAAGTTACCAAATGCCACATGGTACAGGCATTCACTCTAGAAGTTATTTCAACTCAGAATGTCCAGAGTAAAAATTTTATGCTGTTAAAAACTGTGGAAAAAGTTACTGACTCCTTATGAATGGCTAACCACGATGCTGGCAATATATAAACTAGTTCCAGGTCCGTAAGCAGGGAATGTGGAGAGCTACTGTTAGTCCAGAAAATCTTTATGCACAAAAGATATGAATGAATTACTGCAGCTGGAAACCTCCTTCCCCTTCCTCTGAGGCCTTCTCGTCACTGAACTGTGAATTGAAACCAAGCAACAGTTTTTGGGGGCAGAAATTCAGTGTCAAAAGTTTAACACAAGTCTTTGCCAGTGAAAGAGCGGGTCAGCAGCAGTATCTGTCGTCATCCGTGACCACAGCTTCTCTGTCACACAGGCAGAAGAATCCCCTTCTTTACCACATCTCATAAAAGGACAAAGCAATAGTTGCGTACAAGTCATAAATGTTTGTGTAAAAAGACAAACTGTTCACCCTCTCTTCTGCTCTCAACTTCTCCCTTATTTCTAAGAGAGACTCACCAGCATTTTCGCTGGTACTAGAGGAGAAACTGCAGCTTAAGCCCAGCAGGTTCAATCAGACAGTCTGTAAACACCCAGGACCCACTTCAAAGAGCCCAGCGCACCCGGGCAGGAGAAGCCCCTCTCGCCCCTGGGAGGAGCCGCCAGCACCCAGCAGGAACAGCAGCACGAAACTCTGTCACAAGCAGGCTGGGGACTCTCGTGCTTTTTTCCCCAAGATGCCCAATGCACAGCCACATCAGCGTGGGCAGACCCCGAGTTTCGGTGTAAGAGTGGTGGCTTGTCTCTGCTGACGTCAAGGACCTCAGTGGGCGTCTGCAGGATGGGGCTGCCAGCGAGTCCCCTGAGCAGCAGTGGACTTGGGCTGCGTGCAGGGTGACAGCGCCAGCCACCATGAGACATCTCTGCCATGGCTGTAGTTTGGGAAAAAACTGTCACTGTCAGGGCAAACATCTATCAACCTTGCACATTTCAACTGCAGCAGGAAACACGGTAATTGTATCATTTGTTTTCCACACTGACATCATGACATACCCAGCTAAAGAAGATAAAAGAGGCTTGGACAGTCAAGACTGCAGGGACTTGTGGACATTTTGATTTAAGCTTACTCTCTTTCTGGCTAAGTAAAAATGACTGTTACAAATGATGAATGTTACTCCCCTCACCCCAATGTGCCTAATGTCAGGCTCCATTTCCCTCCTTACTGGTGCACTTCCATATTTGTGTAGGTCTCTCCCAGGGTGAAACTTGTAGGAAACAAAGAGCGTAGAAACTGTACAGTTGGATGGTCAAGTTGCAAAGGCAGGCAAGCTCCGGAAGAACTGCTGCACAGCCGTACAACAGCAATTCCCTGCCGCCAGCCTCTCCCACCCTCTCCTCTACCTCCCCCAAAACACACACCTCATTCTCTGCGCCCTCGTCCTTACCTCGTAGGACCATACACACTGCACTCCCGCAAACCTCCGTACGCATCTTCCCACTTCCACGTCCTCGTGGATGGTGTACATCTCTCGCAGGCACTCGCCAATATGGGGCACCATTCTCCGCAGAACTTCCCGGCTCATGATCACTCCTGGTCCCCCCATGCAGAAGTTCTCGCCCGGTTCCAGCGCCAGCTTCCCCATCTCCTCCGTGGTACCAAGGCCAGTCTGCCCAAGAAAGAGGGGCTCGCTGCTGTTCAAACTCCTGAGGAAGTTCTCCAGTTTGTCCCCTTTGATGTAAACGTCGTCATCAGCTCTCATAAACCATTCGTATTTGTCCAAGTAGTGGTCATGCATGTATTTGAGCATCATGAAAGATTTCTTCTGGGGTGGGTAAGAGTCATCTACACCTGGAAGCGGCACGATGGGGATGGGAATAGAGGTGTCTGAACCCTCACTGGAGAAGAATTCAACCTTGCCAGGAATGGTTTTGGACCATGTTCTAGATAGAAAAAGACAATAAGGACTAATTAAGTATGCAAACCAAGGCAGGCAGAGAGTGCTATCAGAGACTGCTCAAAGGAACCACACCTCATCTGCTTTACAAATTTCCTTTTTAAACGCCTTGGGTTATTTTTTTTCCATGCAAACGAGGACATTCACATGGCACACAGGGCAATTAGTGTAACACAAAAAATTCTGACATGACAAGCATCTGAATATCATTCTTGCAGTTGTATCTGATAGAAAAGTAATTCAATAGTAGTTCACTAGTGGCCGGCAGGCTTTCTTAAGCACACTTCATATTGGTCTAACAGCTATTGGTCACAAGATGCAGAGTGAAGCCAAAGGGAGCCAAGATGGGCAAACAATTCACATACAACTGGATTTAATGCCTCCAAAGCTTCCCTGCAAGTTATTCAGCATCACATCCACCTCCCAATCCCCCTAAGTCCCCCAAAAGCTCAAAAGTATCCTGTGGGAAACCAACCAAACAGCAACTTCTCTAGATGCTATGTGGAGAAACAGGTAGGGCTTTGACAGAAGTAACATGCTCCTGCCTGTTTGAGACAGCCGAAGCAGCACAGAGCACGGTAGCAACACTAACCTCAAATGGGTCTCCCATGCCAGCAAAGGTGTAGTAGAAAAGTAGTCCTAAGAGATGCATGCAAAACATGTAATCCCAACAGATGACCTGCTGCTACCACAACCGGCACCTCCAGCAGCTTTTCGCACACTTCAGACCAGATTTTAATAGCGAGGAACATCACAAAAGAGGAGCCTTTTCTGTGCGAAGCAGCACAGCGACGACATCTGCTCCACACCTTCCGTGCTCCTCTCTGCCAAATCCAACCCATCTGTGTGGGCAAACTGGGTCTCTTATATTGCAGGAAGAGATGTAGGATGATTCCTCAAGGCAGACTGCAGAACACTTAACCTCCTCCAGGGAGGATTTTCAGTCACGTAACTGTTACAGCCTTGCCCTAAAAATTATGAACTTCAAGCTTTCAGTACCATTTTCTCAAATTCTACCTGGGGAAAAGCAGAGTTCACGTATCCTTCACAGAAACTCACAGAAAACTATTTTCATTGGTAAACCAACAGGTTTTGCCCCTTTTTGTATAGGGGGAGAATATTTTCTAACCATGTTTGGCAACCATGCTCAGAATATAACCTATATTCAAAGCTGAAAGTGAAAACACTCTCAAGGTAAAGGACACACTATTCCTTCAATGCATCACTGTCACTTTTACCAGATGCCTCTCAACATAAGTTTCTTGCCAAAAGCAGAGCAGATTTTAGGCAGTACAGATCATGTGAAATTTGAAATCTCCAGAATAAGCTACCATACAACATCTGAAATGTAAAAATATTTCAGAAGAATTATTCCTTAAGTTCCACTGGGAAATGCAAAGGTATTTAATTAGTACTAACTAAACATCCACTTTGACACCTTAATGGTTACACACTAATTCAGCTTAGTGTAATGAATATCTCCCAATTACTTTAAAAGCTTTGTCTTCTGGATTTCTTACTGCCACGGGTAGTGTTTCATAGGGAAAGTTTCGATCCCAGCTTCCCAGAAGAGCACAGGGCAAAGTCAATGGAAACATTCCTGTTGACTTCACAACAGAGGTGATAAGGCCTTTAATCACCAGTGATGCAATTAATGCACGGTACTACTGGTTATAAAGTCACATCCTGTTAAAGCATTGAAAACTGCCCGTTTTAAAATGAGACATGCCCATATCTTGAACTTTCACTAACTATTAAGGAAGTTCCGCTGTTTATTTTCTGACACCCACACTCCACATACAAATCATCTGGTCTTGAATGAAAAGACTACACGGTAAATTGCTCTTCCCATGTCAACTCCCAATCTAAGTTTAAAAGACTTCTTCATTAAAGGTACTTGATGCATTCAAATTTTAAACTCATAGAAAGAAAAGGCACAAGAAGCTACTGAGAAATGCAGCTTCTCATCCACTGTGACCAGCTCCCAGTGCAACTTTGGGTGGACCCAGGACACTTTCCAGACAATCACCAGGTGAAGTTATAAGCTAAAGTCTTATGGAAATTTCTGCTTATTGACTTCTTTTATTCAAAAGCAAACAATGAATTTTCAGACTTGCTCTCAATATCCTGAAAGATCTGCCTCCGTAATGATTACGAACTATAGACAATGCAGGATGTCTTCTATCACTCCAAGCTTTAGCTCCTTTCTGGACTCAACTCTTTTTTTGTTTGGTTGGTTTTTCTGTTTTACACAACTACCCCTTCTGTTGGTTCCCAGTTTAAATTTACTCCCTGCTCTCCAACCAGGTTCCCTCACCTCAGGACACCCTTCAGTATTGTCAAGATAGAGTTCCCATTCAATGAAAGTGGAATAAAATGCATCTACATCCACAAACCCTGGCAGTTTTGATTTCCAGCCCTCATATGGCATTAAACCCCTCCGCTCAAAGCCAGTCTGGCCCCGTCTTTCCTTGGATGTGGGCCATATTTAAGTTTCATACTAAAACAGGAGTAAGCCAGAGAAATATCCCTGCATACATGGGACATGCAACATTACTTCAGCCTCGGGATCTCACGCCAGCCGTGCCCCAGCACAGCTTGACTAAGTCTTTGTTCACTTCCTGCGACAATGCAATTTCTAGGATGAGACGACTCGCCCTGTCATTTGTGACTGTGGTTTTGAGCATTTGTTCAAACTCAGGCAGACGAAATACGCTCCCACATAGAAAAATTGCCTGAGCATTTGTGTCAAGGCGAGCGCTGCTTGGCAGAGGCTGAAACAATGGGAGTCACCATGTGCTGCTCCTTATGGCTAAGCCACAGCTCACTGCTCCACGCAGACCCTTTTTGGGTAGAGGATACAGAACAGTTTGCTCAGGAAACATGTTGTTGCACCCAGCCAAAGAAGCCAAACCACAGATTGTAAGATGAACTGTAAGTACATTTTTCTGACCCCAGCTACCAGCAGAACCAAGGACTGTCAAATGCAGCGATGAATTCTGATCAAAGCTACTTTTAACTTTTTTATCTGACATTGCAAAGAATCAGACCTGACTCAATCACAAGTGATTCTGCAGATTAGTGTTCTTGCCCGTCCTCTCATCTCCAGTCCAGTTTACCGTGTCTGCTCTCAGGTTATGGGCAGCAACCCGACCCCTTCAGCTCCTTCGGCACAGAGCTCTTGTCTCAACACTTTCCTACTCCCGTGGCCCCAGCAGCACCCACTTCCACCAGCTGACATTGCTTTCCTAGTCAAGGCTTCTCTAACATAAGACATGCAGATTCTATCCGCAAACGAATTGTACGTTTGATAATAAAAAAAACAAAGGAAAATATTTTTAGCAAAACCTGACACCGTCCTTCCGCCCATGAGGGCTCCCCATCACCCTCAGCTGTTTAAAGGAAATGCAGTCACATTTCTGCCACCAGACTCCGGTATCTACACCTGCAGAGACCACTTCCCCTGCGGTGATCGCTGGTGGCCTCAGCCAACTTAAGGCCTCTCGACCCTGTCCAGAGAGAAGTATCAGGTTCTGAATACAACTGATACATGTACTGAACTGGTCATTTAAAAACCCAGCAACTGAACTGCTCTGACAGACCCCAACCTTATCTCTTCCATGTAATCTGAATCTGCTCGGTTAAACAGGAGGATATGCATGAATCAGGACAGCAAGGCTCTCTATTACTTTCCCCAGGAGCAGCGCTGAAAACATGCACAACGGTGTACGACCTGGTTTCTCTCAGTGCACAGGGCACATAACTCCAACGAACTAGATGCTAGTGTTGACAAGGGAATAAAAGTGCAATTTAAACAAACACAAACATAGAAAAATTAGGTGACGCTTCCTTAGAAGAAACCTCTTAGCAGAGGACATTAGAACTGCTCCAGTATTGGTGGCTGCCAAGTCAATTTGACCATCCCTTAACTGGTTTTGCACACTGGATATCCTATGTGTACCCTAATCTGAGCAAGTCACAAGCAAACTGGGTGCAAAGATTTTGTCACAGCTGGTACAGGTATTCATGCAATACAGAAAGCTGTGTGCACAATGAGTACTAAAAAAACCCCAGTATTTGCTAAAAAGTGACCACTACTATAGTTACCAAATGTTGTCATAAGTAATTTCTTCATCTAAAAAGAAGTTTAAAAAGCATAGCTTGGAGCAGGAGGAGCACAGATCTGGAATGTTTTATCTTCAGTTTCCAGTATTTATTATTTATTTGTATTACCTTGCTTTGTTATCAGCTCTGCAGATTCAGCAGAAGCATAGTCAGCGGCGTTATGCAGACAGTGCTCCCTTTGTAAAGACCCAAACTGGAGACGATTACAAAAAACGTATTTAGTTTTTGTCTGCAGCTTGGGAACCTCCCTTAGAGGAGATCAGAGAAACCATTTAAAGTTTTGAGAAATCGTCATCTTGTATAATTATGCTGAAGAAAACCATAATTTGTGAAGAACTCAGCAAGATAACGGACCGAAAAGACCGATTTCTTGAATAGATGGTTCAGCTAAATTTCATGTTGAATTAGGTTTTGCGTAAGCCTTCTTCAGGGTCCCATCTTTGCAGCAACGCTTGCCAGAGGGGAAGCAATGAACCACAGCTTAGCCAGGAGAACTGAGCACGGAAACCAGCACGCTGCTCCTGCACGTGGTACTGCAGATGACCATCACGAGAAGTCAGAAAAACAAGCTGTTTTTTTAAATTTTCAGATAAGTTTAAAAGAGCTTGTCAGTTAAGATCTGTATTACAGAATTCAGATTTTGAGGGAGAGTTCCTTTAAATTTTTGCAGGACAGCTTGGTATCTAGCTTTAATGGAGAACCCAAGCAGCTTCCACAGCTCCTTAGAGTCCTTTGAATTAAACTCCTCCAATTTAAAGTGATGCCAGTTTTCTGTCCATGGATACCCATCCCCCTTCCTTGTGGAAACAGGGACAGAAATGGATCCATCATCCATAGCCACACCAATACTCACTGGATCAGACTAAGATCAAAGCCCAAGCGTCCCAGAGGTTTGGGCCATATGGTTATTTTGGAGGATGTAGGTGACTTTGTTTCTTCTTATCCTCCATGCATCAATGCCAGTTGCTCTCACTGCATTTATTTCACACTGTTCCTTAAACATTCTTGCAAATTTTAGGTAACTGTTTACTGCTTGGAAAGCCCAAGTATGTCATACTTCTGCTAGAGGATACAAGAACAGGACATACCGGCTTCTCACTATTGCAATACTGCAGTACGATCGGTACGTTAAGCAAAACATGTATCGTGCTGTCACGATGTTCAAAGTCAATCCACACAACCTCCTCCCGAGAGGCAAGAGTGCCCACTCCACAATCCATCGTGTTACCTCCCAAGCAACCAGAAAGGACCAAAACCGAATACCACCCAACAGCCTTGACCTAGGCTCTGAATTTAAGAGAAGCACAAAAATGTGTTTTGTATTACACTTCTGCAGCAGCTAGTGCAGGCTTGGACAGATAATACAACCTCCTTTAGACCCCAAATCCTTCTGGCTGCCTTTCACTTAAGCTTTTCCAAGCACTCAGGTATTTAGATTCCAGTGGAGTCTGTTTCTTATAAGCCACCACAAACAGTGTGGCAGCACGTTCAGAATGGAGCCTCCCGAAGGGCACCCTTCTGCCGCAGGAGCGGGACGGCTTAGCATGAGCCCCAGCATCCCTCGCGGTCCTCGTGCGTGTGGCCTCGTGGCACTTCAAGGTCCCGTGGGGACTGCCCCAAACTGAGAAGTACTGCGGCTGTGTTCCTGCAGAGATACTGCCAAAGGCCAACATCTGACATCTCGCCATTAACTGCATTCACACTAGTCTCCTGCCACGTTTCCTGGGAAATCTAGTTGCTATGCAAAAAAAAAAAAAAAAAAAAAAAAAGGGTTAACTGCCTGATATTTCTGTTCCTGAGAGCAGCAGACTTAAATCTTCTGGGAGACTGCTTATTCCCATCCTCTGCTTCCTGCAGCTCTTTTAGGACAACTCCCCTCAACTGCAAAACCATTAGCACATATTGTTGCACTTTCCCTGAACCCCAGTCATACCTTAACTCCTTCCTGCACAGCTCTTTTCCTCACTATTTCTTGTCCTTTGATGTGACACCGCAGTTTCTGCTGCTGCACTTCACCAGCCTCCTGGAAGGGAAGCTCTGCTAACCTGGCTGTCAGATGCAATAACTGCTGAAGCTACAAATCTGCTCTCCGAAAACCTGTAGATCTAAAGCTTATTCTCTGCCTCTCAGACTACAAAAGCACGACTGTTTCAAAGAGCCGTCTCCTGAATATCCAGCAGGCCCGTTTTGCCTTGCAGTGGTCATTTTGCTCATGATTGATGTTCAGGAAGTGGATTGCTTCCCCTCTTGTTAGACCCTATCTGGATTCACAGCAGCAAGGATCAGCAAATGCTTTCCGCTCCGGTCCCTTTTAGCTGTGTCTGTAAATGGCCTTTGAGCCACAGCAATTGGGAGGTATTCAGCCTCTGAATCCCTAATTCCCTTCAGCGCTCTGGCTAGCGCGGTATCAAGGCTCTGCACACGCTGCCACCCCGGGAATGCCTTGCTAGCAGCTTCCCATTTCACTCGCTGTGCCAGCGATTCAGCTCACCAGGATGCTTTGTCAATGTAGTAATCCCAGCAATTGTCTGCTTGAGTACTTCATGGTAATCAAAAGCCATTTAAGATTTCAGGTTTGTCTTCCTCTCCACCCCTCCCCACTTTCCCCCAAAGATGTCTTCCTGTCACCAGGACATTAGCTCGATTCTTTTACCAACAGAGGGGAGAAAAATGCATTTAGCCCTACCGCAACATTAAAAGGTCTCTTTATTCGTCCCTTCCGAGAGCCGACATCACCTCTAGAGGTTAAACCAAAATAGCAGTGCAGTAAAAAGCGATACTCAGATCTCCTTCCGAGGGCTGAAGAAGCCCGATTCCATTAGCTGGATTTCTTAAGTTGCATCTTTAGCCATTTTTTTGTGTGAGCAGATGTTGCAGATCTGATTCTGTAAACCCAGCTCTCCCACAGCACGGGACTGTTCAGCAAGCATGGGCAAAGCCAGGGACGAGAATCCTTCCCACGCCAGCAAAGCGAAATGCTCCACAACTAACACCCATCTGTGGACAATACTGTGATAAATTTCCCTTTCTTGAATCTGATGGATGCTAGACAAACTATTCTGACATAAAACCTGTTACGTGATGTCCCAACACGACTCCAGCCTTTCTGTATGTAAATGTAAATTACACGGCTCATGATATTTGCAATCCAAAATGCTCCATCCCACACAGAAGAAGAATACATAACCCTGAAGAAACAGATTCTTTCACCCATTTCAAAGCATCAATCATACACCCTCTGTAACTTAATTACAGGTCTACTACTGAAAGAAGGAATTAAGTTTCCATTAAAACCATCATCGGTGGACAATATGCTTCAGATTGCCCAAATTAAGCAATTTTACTGCATTTGATGCTGATATAAAGAGAGCTACCCTTTCCCGAAACCAGAGCTGGGCAGGGGAGGAGGAGATGGTCCATCATACACGGTTTTGCCATCCTGTTCTTACTGGCCAATAGGGCCAAGTACTTTTCAACCTGGGCAGGCAGGAGATGGAGAAGGGATTGTTCTAGTACAAGACTAAAGGGCATGTTTCATTACAGAAAGACCCGCCCCAGAGCTCCTGGCTGCTCCTCTGACGGCACTGGCTGTGCTGCGCTCAATCGGAGTCGGGGTATACCCGAGCTGACATTTTAGCTCTTAACTCTTTCAGATTTCCTAAGCAGGCTTCCCGCGCAGCCTCCCAGCACTGCCTGCTGGCACGAACGCTGGAGCAATAAGCACATTTCAGCAGAGCGAAGAGTTTCTCCAAAGCCACAGACACGTCTCTCACAGAAGAGATGATTATTCTCATGCTGCCGAGGCTTTGGACAGAAGTCCCGTTAGCACGTGGCACTCACGGCGATACCCAGCTACGGCTGGAGACCACAGGCTACGGCGAGTGGCACGCGGTGCAAAGCACAAAGATTGCCCCTGCTCCAAAAACAGGTCTACTCGGGTAATAAAAACATGGCTTAGAGACCCCGGCTCCTGCACTAGCTTTACCAGCCCAAAGCTAGAAACGCTTCACCGAAGCCAACTTTCCCCATTCGAGTTGTTTTGCTACCTGGTCCAGCCTTAGCGACAGCTGCGGCGAGCGGAGGCTGATTTTACTCTTTGTTCCCAGATGCGTTTTCTGGGTCTCATTCCTAAGCACATGCTCTCGGCTTGGCACAGTGGTCTTTTTTTCCTACCCAGGGGGTTACAGCGTTCTCCAAACTTTATTATTAAGCTGTCGGCTCTCTTCAGAAGCAGCAGCCAAGGACTGCACCAGCGTGACGCGGCCATGCCCAAGGTAGAAGCATTGAGGGAAGCAATTTGACGACTGCGTCTCCCCCGGTGACCGGCGGTAGGTGCCCCCTCGCTACAGAGGGGCTGCCTGACCCTAAGGCAAGACCACTGGGTGTGCCTGCCAGGTACCGGCTCAATCAGACCATGTGAGAGCATCAACGCGACTCAACTCGACCCCTCACGTCTCCACCGACCTGTCCAGGCAGCAGACGAGAGCTTGGGGCACCTCTCTCCCCTCACCCCACAGCCCGGCCCCACCGCCCAGCGAGCGCCCCAGCGCTGCCCACCCTGCGCCCGGGCTGGTGCGAGGAGAGGCGGGTCTGAGCATGGTCTGAGGGGACCCCTTCGGCTCGCTCACACCTGCCCCGGGGAAGGGCGAGC